TCATGGGTTTCCACCAGTGTGGGTGGTCATCTTTGCAAGTCTTCCCATCATGATCTTGACGTCCCCCACCCGCAGAATCCCTCCTCTTTCCCATCGACTGGATTCTTGGCGCCTGCTGCAGATCCCTGCATCCACCTCCATCAGTCACTGGATAAAGGCTCTATGATGACAGTTAGAGTGTTCACTAGACCAGTCACCAGAGTAGACCAGTCCAGGCACCCCCTTGATCACTGCCAGCAGTCCAAGGTGGGGTCATCCCTGTGGATTCCTGAGAGCTTCCCTGGCACCCTGCCTCTCCCCACTCCCATGATGTCTTCATCTATCACGGTATCTCCTTCCCTGCTCTCCCACTCTGTCCCCGCTCCAGCTCAACCCTACCATTTCCCTATGTTCTCACCCCCCATTCCTTGCCCTCTGCAGCTCCCCCATCCCCAGCCCGCTCATGCAGATCCCATCCACTTCTACTTCGCTGGGCGATCCCTGTGTCCCTCCTAGGGCCCCTTCCTGTCAGCTAGCCCCTCCGGAGCCATGGGCTGCAGTCTGGCCAGACATTGAGAGCAACAATTAATAAATGGGACCTCCTGAAACTGAGAAGCTTTTGTAGAGCAAAGGACACAGTCAATAAGACAAAATGACAGCCTACAGAATGGGAAAAAATCTTCACCAACCCCACATCTGACAGAGGGCTGATCTCCAAAATATATAAAGAACTCAAAAAGCTAGACTTCAAAATACTGAACAATCCAATTAAAAAATGGGCTACAGAGCTTAACAGAGAATTTTCAACAGAAGAATTTCAAATGGCTGAAAAACATTTAAGGAATTTCTCAACATCCTTAGTCATCAGGGAAATACAAATCAAAATGACTCTGAGATACTATCTTATACCTGTCAGAATGGCTAAGATCAAAAACACTGAAGACAGCTTATGATGGAGAGGATGTGGAGAAAGGGGAACACTCCTCCACTGTTGGTGGGAATGCAAACTTGTACAGCCACTCTGGAAATCAGTATAGCGGTTTCTCAGAGAACTGGGAATCAATCTTCCTTAAGACCGAGCTATACCACTCTTGGGCATACACCCAAGGAATGCTCAATTATACCACAAGGACACATGCTCAACTGTGTTCATATCAGCATCATTTGTAATAGCCAGAACCTAGAAACAACCTAGATGCCCCTCAGCTGAAGAATGGATAAAGAAAATGTGACACATATACACAACGGAGTACTACTCAGCAGTTTAAAAAAAAAAAAAAGAAAACAAAAAAACAATGATATCATGAAATTTACAGGCAAATGGATGGAACTAGAAAAGATCATGCTGAGTAAGGGAACCCAAACTCAGAAGGACAAACATGTACTCACTTATAAGTGGATACTAGCTCTTACGTTTGTGAGGCAGGCACTTTACCACTGAGTCCTCCCCCTGGCCCATTAATGCTTTTCATATTATCAAGTCACTGACTCACTTTAGTAGTTCAATGACTCATTTTGGCATTTCAAATGATTAAATCAGATGTATAATAGACAAGAAGTGTTTGCCATAACCACTGTTATACACACTGCATCTTCTAAGCTCTCCATGACCCATTCCTTTTATGTTTGTTAGCATAGAGTCTACTCAGGAGAACGGGGAAAGGCTCAGGGGTTACAGTGTTTGCCGCAAGTGTGAGTCAGGGGTTCAGATCCCCAGAACTGTGTAAGTGTCATGGTGGCTCACCTGTAGTTCCAGCCTCTGGAGGTGGAAACGGGGATCCCCGGGGAAGGCTGAGTAGCAAGGTTGACATTGGCAATCTCTGGGTTTGATTGTGAGATCCTGCTTCAGTGACCAAGGCAGAAAAGGGTTCAGGATGATTCCAAACATCAGCTTCAGGCCTCAGTATGCACGTACACCCATGCAGGTGTACCCACACATCTGTACCCATGCACGGGAAAACACGCTCACCACATGCACACGACTATGGGGAAAACAACAAATAAATAAATAATCTGCTTAGATGCTAAATTCTATGACTATGGTATCTGAATAAAATTGTATGGATTGATTAATAATAAATTTTAATGTATTAGCCACTAGTAGCTCATTGTAAAAAGAACATAACCAACATTAAAGGAGAAACTAAATTGGCCAATCAACATGGAATTCAGTGTTTAGTAATAATGAGTCCACTCCAGCTGAGCAGAACCCTCTCCTCTGGCTATGAAAGCTATGGATTAAAAAGACCATAATAGTGAGTGAGACTGGCCTTCATGCTGCTCACAGGGAAAGAAAATGTGGTCCGCTTTACTGAGGAGGAGTTTGGCTCTGGGCACCAAGAAATCTTTCAATATTTGTAAATGTTGATCCAGAAATTCCAGTTATTCAACTGTGACTTGAGATGCCTCTGAAGTTTGGGAAAATATTTACATTCGTGGCTAGACGTAGGATTCCATGTAAAAGCCCAAAGATAGGAACCGAGTGAAGAAGTAATGCAATGGGACAGCCATCTGATGGCATGTTCTGTGGTTATTGTAAGTGACATTCTCTCAAACCTTCATTGCACTGTGTGATTCTATTTCCTCCTTGTTACTTCTCTTCCATTTCTTATATCTTATTGGCTTAGCATTATTCATAAACATTGCTCCTATAATAAAAGAGATATTTACATAATAAAAAATTAGAGAGAACGAAAGACTTTACTCCTTTTCTGGCCTAAGTTTCCTTATGTTCATCTTACTCACTCTCCTTTGACATAGTGAATGGCCCTTGGATATGGAGTTGGCAGGCACATGCGTTTAGGCTGTGTAACAGATATTCAGTAGGTGTGTGGCCCTGGGTGAATCTAACTTATGTGTATCTTGGCTGGTTTGTAAAGTGGAGTTTCTGTCTTCCTTGCTACCAGACAGAACTAAAATGAGAAAGCTCACCTGCAAGTGAACCCTCTGACCTGCTGAACCCTAAGTTCAGAGCTCTCCCCAGACTATCTCATAGTTGGTCATTTGCATGAAGGACCATCAGAATTCAATGGAAGAATGGTCATGATTTATTACCAGGACAGAACAGGGCTCCAGATAAGCTAGAGAGACAAAGCATAGTGTCTGGATGGGTTCCAGGGACTTCCAAACTTTCTCCAGCAGAGCTGGGCTAAGTTCATCTCCAGCATCCATACATGACAGTGTACATGGTATTGCTGAACAGCGAAACTCACCTAAGCTTTGGTGTCACAGGATTTTATGTAGGCGCCACCTAATGTGTCAGCATGATCAATAGAGTGATTGTCCAATGCGGCCGGAGTCAGCCCCCAGGTTATCCAATAGCATGCTGTGGATATGGCTCTGTATAAATAAAATGCTGATTGGCCAGTCGCCAGGCAGAAAGTATAGGCGGCACAAGCAGAGAAGAGAATTCTGGGAAGTGGAAGTCTGAGGCAAGAGATGCTGCCAGCCACCACCATGAGAAGATGTTAAGATACCAGCAAGCCACGAGCTACGTGGCAACTTATAGATTAATAGAAATGGGTTAATTTAAGATATAAGAACAGTTAGCAAAAAGCCTGCCATGGCCATACAGTTTATAAGTAATATAAGTCTCTGTGTGTTTACTTGGTTGGGTCTGAGCAGTGGCGGGAATGATGGGTGAGAGAGATTTGTCCTGACCGTGGGCCAGGCAGGAAAACTCTAGCTACAATATCATGCCAACTAAAGGCCTCCTGGTTGTTCTTTCTGCATGGTCAGTCCCACCTTAATTCTGTCTGTTCAGTTCGCCTTATCCTGAAGTCCATTGTGAACAGCCTCCTTTCTGCTGGATATCTTACAGTTCATCTCCCAGGCACCCAGGGCAAAGACCAGACCTCTTTTTGGACAAGGCCAAATTCTTTATGATACATAAGGTGACAGAAAAGAGAGAGTGAGCAGGTTTGAACACAGACATAGTGTTGTCTGGGGAGGCCTATGATACAGGGTTCTGAGACTGGCCAACAGGAAGAACACGAACTTGATGGTAACAGGAAGTATGCAGGCATGCAAGTCCCTCGCCCTCCTGGAAGCTTCATGATTGCCCACGAGAACAAACTCGCTTACAGTGTACCCTGCCAAAGACATTTTCCAGCATGGGTATTTACCACAGAGAGGGACTGGGCTGAGAAAAATACAACCTTCTGGGAGCGTGACTCTGACTCCGCCCTCAGCGTTCAGAGCACAGCGGTTGTGTCTTACCACTAACTAATTTATCTAATCGGGATGAGTTCTCAGTCTGTTTCTGCAGGTTTCTCTCTCTGGAACTGTACTTCAGCTCAGCCTACTCCTTGTAGCATAGGGTGATGAAAAAAGAAACCAGGCAAGTCCCTTTTGCAGAGTTTCTGGTCCTGAGCACTGGGGTCAGACTGGCTCCAGACTTCATAAAAGTCAGACTAGAAAAATGAAAATTCAGCTTGGGGACACGGGGGCTCAGCGGTTAGAGCATTTGCTTTACAGGTGTGAGAGCTGGAGTTCAGGTTAACCAAACCCCACACATAAAAGCCAGGGTGGGTGCAGCCGCCCACCTGTAATTCCAGCAGCAGAGAGAGAGTCAAGAGCCTCGGAGCCAACTGGCAACGAAACTAGCCGTATTACCAGCCTCTGGGCTTGACTGAGAAATCTTACCCCAGTGAATATGGTAGAAGAGCAACCAGGAATAATTCCTGACATCAACCCGAGGTCTCCATATGCACGCCCACACACATGTACCCACACACCTGAATAGATGCAGGATGAAGGAGGAAAAATGAAAACGGAGTTCAGTTCTCGTATTAAAGGACACAGGAGAAATCTTCATCCCGGAATCTCCAGCGGGATAACTATGCTTTTATAACTGGGGACAGAGACTGGGATGAGACCAGCAACTGAAATCCAATTACACTTGTGCCCTTCCATCAGAGAGAAGAGTTCAGCTTCCATCTGCAGGGTCTTTTGAGCACCAATAGCCTGCAATGACTTGATGTTATCAGTAAAATTGGGTTGTATGTTCTGTCTCTCTCCAGAAAAAACTGGCCATGCAGAAGTCGTCCGGGTTGTGTACCAGCCAGAGCACATCAGCTTTGAGGAACTGCTCAAGGTCTTCTGGGAGAATCACGACCCGACCCAAGGTAGAGTGATGAGCGAGCCAGTATTTAATTATCTTACTAATTACAGCTGGGATAATTAGTGTTTGAGCTGCATGGGAGAGATGAACCTTGAAATCACACAGGGGCTCAAGAATATGATTGCAGACATTTACTGACAGAATGGGGCGGGGGCACACGGGGAGGAAAGGGCTGAGAGAATAAAGGCGCAGCCACAGCCAGCGCCCCTCCCCCTTTACAGCTGTCAGGGGTGGGAAAATTCCCACAGAGAAAGACGCCAGACAATGGAGATCCCTTCACCTTTGATTACTGCATTATTCTTCCTTAATGCAGCCTTTTGTCTACAAAATTAAAGTGTCTTTCCAGGAACTGCGAAGTTTTCCTGATTTATGGTCCCTTTGTTTTCTCAGAGTTTAGCCTTTCTCATCTTTTGACGTTATCGGGTTTGTTTTTTTAAGAAACGTCTGTGGGTGATTACAGGAAAGGGGGGAAAAGAATATAAAGGTGAAGAACAGTATTCAGTTGTCCACAATGCTTGGGTTATTCAAACATTTCGTTTGTCCTCCTTGGAATCTGTTCTGTGGGAATATTAATGTATTTTGACTACAGACAGCGTCTGGTGGCGTGGACACGCTCGCAAGCAGGAATCCCCCCCTTGGCTAACACCATGGCAATGGCCAATAGTGAAGGATTTCTTCACTCCATCCTCGCCACCTCATCGGGGTGGCTTTGCGGATGGGGAAACTTCTAAACTGGGATCTTGGACAAGCACCCTTTGTCCAGCCTCTTATCTACTCACAGAAATGATTTTCCCCTTGGGATTTTCTGTGATGGCTTTGCCATATTGACTGACTTGTCAGGAGTGGACATTTCCTTCCCAGATATGTTTGTGCTTTGGTAAAAATCTCAACATGGGCCCATCATAGCAAGTTGGTAGGTCTTAAGTGCTGGGTGCTGTGTTGAGTGTGCCCTCCAATATGCTCCCACTAGAACTATCCATGACAAGGGTCAATTGCAAAGGTCAAAGATCAGAGTGAAGGCAAGTCGAGTAGAATGAGAGCCGTAGCAGGACCAAGTAAGTCCACCAGGTGGTGATGGCTAAGATCTGGGTAGAGCTATACTGACAACATCTGGCTTTCTATGGTGGTAGGTCCTTGGTAGACAAGAACTCAGATGTGGGACAGTATGTCAAGGCCTGCAGGGACAAGAGCACTGCCATCAGAAGGCTTGCTGTCACCATAGTTTGGATCGCTAAGCTGCCTTAGCACAGGAGGAAGGCTATCCTGACAGTGTGGACATTAAGTTCTGACGGGTGCATACATCTTAGAGCACGTGCTTGTAAGTCTCCCATCAGATGAGGCAGATATTCAGCCATGTGTATGGCTGTAAAGCTGAGAGTTAATATAGAATGCTGGGAGCTTCTAAACTGTCCAGGAGACCCACCTCAGGATTCCAGAAAGCCTGAGGCCAAGGTCCCTGCAGCCTGGGTTTGTGGCCTGTGACTTAGCTGGCTTATCCAATGTTCTGTCCCCGTAGGGACTCCTGGGGCCTCAATTTGTCAGCATCTCGGGCAAGACCAGTGTGTCCCTGGCTTTTCTGTCTGTGCCTCCTTTAATATCTTACCCATTCCACTGTGTCTTTGTCAGCACAGTATGTTAACAGGTACTGGCCCTTGAATGTCTGGTAGACACTTCCCTGAGGAAGGCCTTTGAAGACTCTGTTCCCTTCCACACTTACATTACATTTGCCTCAACGGTCCTCATTCAATCTTCTCCTCTGGGTTTTGTTTGTTTGTTTGTTTGTTTATGGCCTGTGCTACTGTATTAGTGTCATAAGGAAGTGTGAACGTCTGGATGGCTTTAAAAACAGGCATTTATTTCCTCAAAGTTCTGGAGGCCCTTCAACCAGCAAGTTCAGGGTCAAGGGGTTGGCAGGTCTTATTTTCCCAGAGGCCTCTCTCCTTGGAGTGCTGATGGCCCTCTCCTCCCTGGGTCCTCACGTGGTCTTTGTTAGGTCTGTTTCCTTTTCCTACAAAGACACCAATTGTATTAGATTAGGACTCACCATAGTGACCGTGTTAGTGTTAATACTTAATTACCTTCTATAAAATATCAGCTGGGGCTGGAGAGACGGCTCAACAGTTGAGAGTACTGTCTGCTCTTCCAGAGGACCCAGGTTCAATTCCCAGCACCCACACGATGGCTCATATGTCCTTTTCCAGCCTCCAAGGGCACCAGGCACAGACATGGTACACAGATATATTTACAGGTAAAACACCCATGCACATAAAACTAAATGAAAAAGAAAAACCATTAACCTACAAGTTCAGTCACATTCTGTGGTGCAGGAGCAGAGACTTCAGCATCTGAAAAGAGGAGGTTGCACCATTGCACCCCATGGCACTATCCACTGGTGACAGCCCACAGCACTATCCATTAGAGGGACAGATTTGCCTGGTCTTCTTCTAGAGGTGCTTTTTAATGCCATTCATAGACTTATACCCTGGAAGTTGCTTTAAAACCCATCCAGGTGAACATCGTGGACTGAAGCCTTGCCTTTCAATGTGCTTCCCATGTCATTACCAGAATTACTTTGGGGATAGGTGAATGCAGTGGGACATAGTAACGTTTTCTCTGTCTCTCTTCCTTCCCTCCCTCACAAGGTTCCTCAGGAACCTTCTAGATATCAGGTTAGACTCACTGGCCTAAGGGGAAAACGACCTTGGTCAGGCTCTTGTCCTATTGCCTAGGGAATGGGTGTGTGACCCAGCAGAGGGGGTTCAAGTCATTCCTCAAGGCTGTTACATGAGAAGAGAAGGGGCCACCCTTTGCTGGGGTGCCAAGGCTAAGGTGGTCTGTGTGTGTGGACAGCCTGTTCACAGGGGAAAGAAGATGAGTCGAGACCTAAAGATGTAAAACCCACCAGAAGGCTCTAGGCCTGAGACCTGTCCTTCCTGCAGCTAGCCTCCTACTCTGCCAGCTGTCCCATGGCTTCCTGAGCCCCAGAGCCATGTGCTCTCCCTGCTCTTTAGCTGGACTGTCAAATGTCTGTGCCTTCAGCCATGGAAAGTCTAACGCATCCACCTGTCTAATTTCATCACTACGCTTACCATATTAGGAACTGTCGGCTATGCGTATTGGACTTAGAAATCAGAGGTCTAAGCCATTTGGTTCGTAGTCTCATTGTTGATTCAGACATGAAAGGGAGGTCACTATTATGCTTCTTCAAGACTTGGTGGCTTGATTAGGGGTTTCCTCAGTAATTCAGAATCCGTATCTAGGATTTGGGATATGTGGCCGGCAAACATGTGAGACCTTCCTGTCACCGTCTCTGAACTGCTATGGGAGCAATTGTCCATTTGGGACCTTGTGTGTCCTCTATTTGTCAGGCGTGCCATTTGGTGATGCTAATCACTAAGTGGTCTGAATAGGTAGGAGGAGCCAGCCCCTGAAACAGAGGGAAATGCATTCTCATAAGAAAATAGTTAGAACTCAGTGTACCAAGACCAAATGAGCACTCAGCTAAGTGTATGTAAGACTGCATGCTAGAAAAATAGAAGCCCAAACAAAAATCAGAAGAACCCTGGATCCTATTCCCAGGGACCCCTGAAGCCTCAAAACTTGTGCTCATGTATAATTTTTCCAAGGTCAGATTTGAGGTCCATTGCCTGAAGGGTAGGCAACTAGCAGGAGAGAGTTAGCCTGGGAATGAACTTGGCCTCCGCTCTCATCATGTTTCCCAGGGAAATGGCTGTGCAGAGAGAGCTGCTTATGACACAAGTGAGGGAAGGGGAGTCATGGAAGGTGGCTGCCTCATGCGGAAAGAGAACTTTCGGGAGAGAGCAGTGTGGTGGGTGCCCGCAACTCCGGGCTGTGAAGCAAGAGCTCCCTCAAGTTTCATTTCCGGAAGCAAGAATAAGCAATTCCTAAAGCCACTAAGGGAGTGTTTCCATCTGCATGAGAACTGCTGGTCAGCAAAAAGATTGACAATGCCTAAGAAGTTAAGAAGGGCTATCTGGTCTTTGACGCAAGAATACACCGAGAAAACATATACATCTCCCCAAAAACACGACTCCAGAGGCATAGATCATAAATAGCATGTTGGGAGATTTTAGAACCTTCTTGATAAAGTTATTAAGGGTCTGAAGGGCTGCTCACATTTTTGGATTTGAGTTTAATGTATTTGGAGGGAAAATGGAACCCTTGGGTGATATTCTTAAGTGTGGGTATTTTTGCTAATGTCAAGGGCCCAACACAGAAGAAGCAGCAGTCATTTAAGCTGAAAATCTCTTTGCAAGTAAGTCAGATCCTTGGGACCAAGAAGAAACAGGAACCCTGTGTGTTCTTCTTAAATTAACCTGCCTTTATTAATCTACATTCTGCCACCTGACTTTTTACCTCTCTTTCATTCTGTATGTCTGACTTCCTTCATGTTTTGCTGGCATTTCACCCACCTCTCTTCTTCCCAGAGTTCTTCTCTCCCTGGAGGTCCTGCCTATTTTCTCTTGCCTAGCTATTGGCCATTCAGCTTTTTATTAAACCAATCACAGTGACACATCTTCACACAGTGTAAATAAATATCCTGCAACATTTCTCCCTTTTTGTCTAAATAAAAAGGAACAGTTTTAACTTTAACACAATAAAACTATACACAATAAGAACAATTATCAGGTAAGAATTACATTCACAGTGTCCAGCCCATTAGCATTTGGCAAATTTGGAGAAAATACTCTGTTATCTATTTTATCTTGATGAATCAAACATTTTATGCCTAAAGCATTTTTATCATAACTTGTATTACCATCCTAAAAATATCTTTTTTGACCTTAAAACATTTTCTTAGCTAAGCAACTTAAGCTTTTATGTCTCTCAACCTTATAAACTTTACATCTCCTTTGTAAGTTTCTTTTCTGAATTTGGTAATAAAAAAATGATATAACTATCTAGTCTTCAGACCCCATCAGAGACCTGAGAAGGATAAAATTTTACCTGAGTAAACAGGAAGTACAGAGCAAACAACTTCTCAAATTTTAGAAATGACAGAGACATCTGGCTACCTGGACAGTCACCCAAGTTTCCTCTGCAATGTTGAGGCATCTGTCTTCAGCCTACAGGCCTAGAATATCTGACAGACTTTTCTGTGAAGCAGGAATGTTGAAGGACTGTCCTACCTTGTCTTGGCAAAGTTCAGAAGTCTCCTTCTTTTGTGTCCTGCTTATCCAATTTGGACAGCATTATGTCAGGAGTTTAAGCAAGGACAGTTTCTTGCCCAGTGGCTAGCTTTGCCACAAATGAAAGCAAACCCCATATTGAGGTTCTTCAATGCCCATCATCATTTTTTGAAGTAGATTGGTGCTACCAGTGTCAGACATGTTTCACTGTCATGAAAAGCCTTGTGTTATTAGAACACCTTAAATGTCATATTCTGTAGGTCTCTAAAGTATTTGAAGACTATCTATCTAAAATATCTATGTAACCTTGAAAACATAACTAACATGACTACAAGTTTGATTGTAATAGATGGCTAACTACTGATCTGTAGTTCTTAATTATCTTAAATAGTTTGTAATAATAGCTATCAAGGTCTAGAATTATACATCACATTTTAAAATGAGCTATATAGGCATAATACCTTAATCAAGGGTAGAAACATGTATATAGTAAAAAATAACCTTAAATTTGTATCACTATACAAAAGTCCATACCAATGTAAAATATTTGACATTAATAGTTGCTCTTTAGTTTAAAAGTAGATTCAATAACCTACCCCTTTATCCTATCATTCCTATATCCTCCCTTTAAAAAAAATCTTTTTAGAAAAGGATCTGTGAATCTAACCTCCTTTGCTTAATTTTCTCCATGACCATGACCAATAACAACTTGCAACCAAACCCCTTCAATGATGATAATTATCCATAACCCACTGAATGACCAAAAACCACCTATCCTACTTCTTGAAAATGTGGACATCATGTTCTCTAGGCTATTTTTGTTGTCTGTGGGTGACAGTATCTTTGGGGACCCTGAGAAAATTGAGATGATGGTCAAGTCCTGGGAGATAGCTATTGTCCAGTCTTGGTGTGATAGGAAAGTTGAGGGCTTATTTGAAGTCTTGGCTGGAATAGTCTATGAGGCTGGACCATCTCAACTAGCAGTTTTGAAGTTGTTCTGGATACAGATTTTTGAGGAAACTGTAACAGAGGCATTCTGTGAGGTTGGATCACTTGGATAACTTTATTGGTATCTAGTCCTTTAAAAAAAAATCACAAACTTTTAAAGGTAACATACATATATGTATTAACATAAGTATAGAATTGTGGTATGTACAGATCAGCTGAAGCTGATTCTCTGTTCTGTATTTGAGCAGGTAAAAGGCATCTGTCAACTTTATAAGTCTGTTTGGACTGCATAACCAAACTGTCATGAGGACTCTGTAGCCAACAAGATTTATCATGTCTCCTCCAGTCTCAGAGCTATTTCCTTGTAGAGGAATCAGCTCATACATCACCTGTTTTGTAAAGTTTTGTTTTATTTTTGTTTCATATCTGTAGTCATTGTTTTCAGGAGGTCTCCCCTGATCAAATCTGATTTTTATTAATTTTGAAGCAATCCATAGCTTTTTCTTTCCTGTGGAAACAAAAGTATAACCTCTACTCCAACTCAATGCATTTTCTGACATCCATTCTAAAGTTAAGACATCCTTAAAATATATAGGCTGGCTTAATTTTTAAATTTTTTTCCACAATCCAATATCTTTCAGCAGTGTGTGCCTTTAGCTCATCAGTATTAAAAAAAAAAAAAAATCCCAAGTAAACAAAGCACCACACAGGATCCAGACACCCTGTGTGTTTCTCATCCTTATGTGGCTTATTTTTTTCTTACACTACTTTACTCTTTCTTTAAGAACTTTATTATTTTTAAACTATTCATTTATCTATGTATGACTGTCTATACCCATTTTATTTTCTTTCTTCAGCAAGCTAAGCACATTCCAACGTATCGTACCTGTTCAGGTTTCTTCTTGTTCTGGACCTGACCTTTTACACCTCTGCAGGCTCCTCTGACCATGTGAGCCAAACCTTACACGGCTAGGCGGTGTCTAGGCTAGAACCACTGCCATGTGGTTCTGCTTAGCCCACGGTGCTGATGGCTGGCTCTGTCCCCTTCAGGCCCACAGGCACAGGTGGTGGCTGCACGTAACTGTCCTCGCCGTGCCTAACTGTCCCAGCTCTGGGAAGTTGGCTGAGCTCAATTTCTAGAGTCCTTGCAAAAGTGGCTGCTGGCAGCTGTGAGTGCTCAAAGAGAGGCCCGGCAGCAGCTGCCGTGACACACACTGGCTGGTGTGACTTCCCCTTCTGTGTGGTCATGCCCCACACTGGGTGCCAACTACAGCAAGCTTCCTTGTCAGACTTTCTTTTGGGACCACCAGCCCTCTAATAATGATGCAGAGTCTTATTATTGATGATGAAAACTTGGCCTTTTTAGCTTAGGCTTGTTCCCAACCAGTTCCTATAACTTAAATTAACCTGCTTCTGTTCAGCTACATCCTGCCACGTGGCTTTTTACCTCTCATTCTGTACATCTGACTTCCTCTGTGTTTCCCCAGTGTCTGCCTGCCTCTCTCTTCTTCCCAGAGTTCTTCCCTCTCCCCGGAAGTCCCAGCAGCTTTTTGTTAAACCAGTCACAATGACACATATTCACACACACAGTGTAAACAAATATCCTGCAGCAAGAAGGTCATGCTGTTGGAGGTAGGGTCCAAAACAGCCAGTGCGCTCAACAGTGGATGTCAGGAGGCAGCTGCATGGTGGGGTGGGGGCTCCAGAGAATGAGTGCAAAACCCCAGACAATCGGGAAACCCACACTGAGGCTTTTGGCCGGTGTCAAACAAACAAACACCAATAAACAAACAAACAAACAAACAAGGTAGAAGGAAAAGTTACACTTTTGCATCAGGACTCAGAAAGGAAGACAGGCTCAGCAATGCTGCGTGGACGATGCTCTGCAAGCAGCTGCATAAGGGGAAGGGGCTTCTGGGAAAGGCAGCGCGTTATCTCATTAAGGGCATAATTATTCCTCCCATCTCCTTAGCATGTCTTCATGCTGAATCAGCCTTCCTGAGGGGTGTTCTGGCCAGATGACTGACAGGCCCAGATGGATCAACTCTTAAGAAAGAGACAATAGTATGTTTCACTAGTATCTGTGGAGCAGGTCACAATGGCATGTCTCCATGCAGGGTCAGAGGTAGAACTCAGATCCCATTCTTCTGACTTGGAGAAAGTAACTGTCACTTCATGGGCCTCAACAAAGCCCTGTACCGCCACTTATTCATGCTTCTCACTTCCTTTCTTGTGAAGCTTGTCCTTATGGTGTAACCAAGGAAATAGGAGGTGGAGTCTAAAGTGGATTGTGGAGGAGAGGTCGACCCTCAATGGCCTCCAAGCCTGCTAATCCCTGTACCACTGCCCTTTCCTAATCCATTGTCCACAGGATTAAGTCACAAAACAAGCCCTCTCCTGCTTCAAGCCCTTCTCTGGTTGTTCGTTCTCTTTGGGACCATTTATAAGCTCTTTACAGTGACCGGTATGACCTTAGATAACTCCCTCTCCCTGCTCAAGGCATCTCAGATACAGTGGCCTTCCTTCCTTCTACATTTTGAAAACACAAGCATTTTCTTGCTCTAGAGTCTGGCCCTACTGCTCAGTCAGCCAACTGCCCTTGACAAGCCTGCCTCCTTCTTGTCCTCTTGATTTCTACTGTTTTCAAAGAGGTCTTCATTGACCTGCCCAAGCTAAAGAGGACTCCTTGCCCTTACTGCGTGTGTGTGTGTGTGTGTGTGTGTGTGTGTGTGTGTGTGTGTGTGTGACAGAGACAGAGAGAGACAGAGAGAGAGAGAGAGAGAGAGAGAGAGAGAGAGAGAGAGAGAGAGAGAGAGATTTATTATACTGGCTTATAGGGTATGGTCCAGTAGTCCAACAATGGCTATCCACACTGGAGAAGCCAAGAATAGTAACTGTTGAGTTCATGCAGTCCTAATATGACACTGGGGCCTAGAGAATTCCTGGATTGTGGCTGCTCTTCAGTCTATGCTGAAATCCTGAAGAAGCAGGTCTTCATTTCAGTGAAGGAAGGCTGTAGCAGCAGGGTGGATGAACTTGCCAGCAAGAGTGAGGGCAAGCAGCAAAAGTGCCAAGTTTCTTTCTTCCATGTCCTTTTATCCGGGCTGCCACCAGAAGGTGCCACCCCCATTTAAATACCCTCATTAAGAAAGTTCCTCCCAGGTGTCCCCAGCAGCTTGTGTTTCAGGTGATTCCAGACGTAGGAAGTTGGCAACCAAGCTTAGTCATCACAGTGTTTATTTATTGTTTCTCTCCTCCAGAGGGTCAGCCGCACAGGAAATGTTTTCTCACTGGGCACAATGAGTGGCCTCAGCTTCTGCATTTGGAAAGCAGTTCCTGTCCGGTGGGTGGGTGTCAGGATGTAGGAACAAATTTGGTTTGCAGCCCAGAGCACAGTGCCTGCATAGAGTACATTTGGGGGATGTGGGGTTGTCCCTCTGAGACAAGAACTTGATCACACAGAACCTTTAGATGCTCACGTCCCTTGGAGGAAACAGCATGGACTATGCAGAGCCAATGCTCAGCCTGCTGGACATGTTAACTGGTCTCTAGATTGCCTAGAACTCTTAACACAGTGTGAGAACTGTGCAAATAGCTGGCGTGCTGGATTGTTGAGGGAAGAGTGCATGTGTTCCATGCTCAGGTGTTTCCCCATTTCCCCTGTACCACTGTCCATTCCAAGCCCACGTAGCCCGCAGATGTAGACAGATCACTGTGGCTGCAGCTCCCACTGCCTGTGGAAGAGTTGGTACATGAGCCCTGTCTGTCCCGCTCTTTCACAGAGGCCAGCATTTCTGTATATACTTTATTTATCTAGCTGCCCTTTTCCCTGGCTCCTGCTCCAATTACTCCTGGCAGATTCCTAGTCTTTGTCCATATACTTTAAAAACTCTCAGCTAACTCCTCCTTCTCATCTCTCCTGCCCCACCTCACATCTGACAGCAAGGTTCTAGATTTCCTCTGGAAACATGGTTGGACTGGCCAACCAGCTCTCATCCATGGAGGGTTCCTTAGTTCATGCATAGGTCTGGAAAATCCCAAAGACTCGTGTGTGTGTGTGTGTGTGTGTGTGTGTGTGTGTGTGTGTGTGTGTGTGTGTTTTGGGGGTGCTTGTGTGTGGTATGTATTTGTGTTTGTTTGCACACACACAAACATATCCATGTGGATGCAGGTAAACTTGTGGAGTCCAGAAGTCTATAACAAGTATTCTTTCCATGGCTTTCTACTTTGTTTTTTTGAAGTGGGGTCTCTCACTAAACCCAGTATTCACTGTTTGGCTAGACTGGCTGGCCAGGGAGTTCTGGGCATCTGCCTATCTCAGCCACCACCTCCAGCACGAGTTTACAGACATACACCAACATGCCATCTCTCTAGACCTCCAAGGACGCCACCTCTCTAGTCAGTTCCCTCTGGCCTGCATGTCCCCCTCACACACACTCTCCATGAAACATTACTCTAGATGTTTCAGTGTGGTTGCCCCATAGCCTCTTTCCAGGTGCATGTAAGAGCAGCCAGTGTCTCCCACATGTACCCTCCCATGCTGTCTTCTGGGAAGCCTTAACTGCATGGAGAAAAACCCCATTTTCCCCGTTTCCTATCAAGTGGGCAATTAAGTGCTGGTGTACGTACATTTGAACTTGCCAAATTAATATCTGAACTTTATTGCCAAATTTAATATCTGAATTAATATGCTGACCCTTTTAAGTTAGTGGTTTTTTTTTTTAAAAATAAGTCACCAGTTTTGAAGGACTATCCTTTTTTTAGAGCATGTATAAGAAATCTATCATCTGCAAATAATTAGACAGTGGGAATTATATTGTATTGCTAATGAGCAGATGTGCATGCTTGTAGTGGGGGAACAGCTGCACACACACAAAATGCGAAAGTGCCTCAAACCCAGCATTATGAATTCTGCAAGGGGCTTCAGTCTTTTAAGAATTTTGGGGAGGAGAGAAAAATGAAACAAAGAAACTAGTATTTTTTCTTTATTAATTAGACTCTCAAGTGTGCTCCTCCTCATAGCATCATCATTCATGTGCACAGTACCCCTGCTGTTCATACCCTCAAATGTCTTTTCAAGAATGCTCATACAGAGCAGGTTTGCTCTGCCTTTTGGTGTTGTAAGGATCTGGTACCTCCAAACCTGATTGGAGGACTCTTGGTGGGTACCATCTATGTGATGGCCATGGTGCTTGGAAGCTTATGCATGTAAAACCCTATTTGATTCTTAAAAGCACCCATGAAAGTTAGACCCATTCTGCAGATGGACACACTGCAGATGAACAGACTGCCCCAGTAAAGCAAGAGAATTTGTCTGGCACCCGCTAGTACATTACCATTATGTGACAAGGATGGAATTTGTTCTCCGGGGCTCAGTTCCAAGCCTTGTGTTCCTCCTCCGGTAAGACACGTGACTCCACATTGTTAAGTGATGCTTTCAGAGAGCAGGAGGCATGACCCACGGTGACTGGAAAGAGCTGCACACTTGCCAGTGCCTATGACTCCTGCAGTGTCTGTTACAATTTCATACATGCTGTTAAGGATGAGCAAGAGGAAGATAATTGGGCTTTTGGAAACATTCGGAGGAATTGCACACATTTTACATCACCATTTAGAATGTGAAAATTTGGCACTTAAGCAGTAAAATATGAAGTCAGAAGAACTAATACACTTTACACAGTGTCCTAAATTAGGTAAGGGGAGGCTGGGAGCTGATAGCAGAGTGGGAACTGAAGTTTCTAGGCTGCAGTATTGGCAGATTGGGCCATTCACTTCAGCCCACACACTGAAAACAACCGAAGGTGGCGGTAAGATAGTTAGAACGCCCTGAGGGCATCCCAAACAACAGCTGACGAGTTGTGAGGAAGGGCCAGATCAAGATGGAAGGAAACAGGAAGGGAGACAGGCAGAAGAGGACGGAGACACCATGTTCTGAGAGAATTCTCTGATGCCATAAATGTAAGTTTGGGGCTCCTTACTAAGACGTGGAAGGTGTCCTTAACTCGGGATCTTTAACTTATTGGACACATATGAAGTACCTGGAAGTGGCCTGTCTTCTCAGTCATACACAGAACACACACTCGGCCAGCAAAACAGCAGTGTGGATAAAGGGTTTAAAATCACATAGAGTAGGATTCTCTTACCATGGCATTCTACTAGAAATCAGTAGCAGCGAGTTATCCAGAAAACCTCTCTTATGTTAAGAAGAAAAATTTATTTCTATCTTAGCCTTGTAGTTTGCATGGGAAATGCATCCTGCCCGCCACCCCCACCCCAGGCTCCTGTTTGAAGGCTTGACCCCAGCAGGTGGCTCTGTTTTGTAGGGCTGTGGAGCCTTTAGGAGGTGGGGCTTAGCAGGAGGAAGTGGCTCACTGTGGGGCGGGCCTCCCGGAGTGATCCTGCTTCCTGATCTACAGTGAGGGAAGCAGCAGATATGGGAAGTTCTGCCAGTTACTTTGTTTCTCCATTCGAGGGACTGTGTCCCCTCAAACCAGGAGCCAGAATCAACCCCTCCTCCCCACTAAAGTTGCTTCTTCTTGTGCTGATAAGGAAAATCAGTAGCAAATCTAGTTATTAAGGATAAATCATGAACGATTAGAAAATAATTTTAATTAGGTGATGATTCAGATACTGTATATCCAAGTTCACAGGGCATGGCTAAACAGATCTTACCCCCATCTGTGAGAAGAGAGAAGATCATCCATCTCAAGAAACCAGAAACCAACCACCAAACAATCCCCACCAGTGGGAAAGAAAGAATGAAGAACATAAACCAATGGCGTGGAGCTCAAACCAGCTCAGAGATGACCGTGAAAGCCAAGGCTTTCCAAATGCACGTGCTGGTAAAATGTCAGCAAAGTCAGTCAATAAAAAACACGGCAGAGATTCCCAGTATGAAGAACAATAAATAAATAAAAAGGAATCTCACTGCAGACACTGGAGATACTGCCAGACTCAGAGGACATCTAGAGCGTCGAACTTGAGAAGAAAGTTACATTGAAAACAAACCTCTTAAGAACCAACAGAACTATGCCCATTTCTCATCTATCTTGTGGTGGCATGGGCAGGGGAAAGATGCTCTCCCCTCCTTCCCATCAATGCCTGGGGCAGGTGGGAGAACTGGCCCTAAGGTCGCAAGAGCAGGAGAGCTGTCCCCATCCCCCACCAGCTGCAACACCCTGGAGAACAGGCCCTGCACCTCACCTGGGCAACACCATAGAGCCAACCCAGTTGGCCGAGGTGTGGGTGAGCCAGCCCAGAAGTTGTAGGCTTGGGAAAGCTGTCCTCACTACTCATCTGTCATGCAGTGGTGTTGGTGGAGGAGAGATGCCACACCTTCCCCTCCACCCCTTACCACCTACAACAGATGAGTGAGATGACCCTCCCCCTTACCAGCTGCAGCTCTCAAGAAAGTGGGCCCTGCTCCTCACCTGGTAGCACAGCAGAGCTGGCCCTGTTGTCAGAGGTGAGGTGACCCAGCTCTGATGTTGCAAGCAAGAGAGAGCTGTCCCCACTACGCAACTGACATGTGTCGTCAGATGCAAAAGAGAGATTCCCTCCCCCAACCCCCACCCATCAATACCAGAGACTGGTGGAAGGAGCTAGCCCCGGGGGTCATAAGAGCGGGAGGGCTATCCCTTCCCCTCACCAGCTGCCGCAATTGGGAGAATGGTCCCTGTACCTTACCTGGGCAACATGGTAGAGCTGGCCCTGATGGTGTAGGTGTGGGAGAGCCGACCCTGAGGGCACAAAAGCAGGAGAACTGACCCCACCCCTTGCTCATTGCTGCAAGGGTGAATTAACCAGGGCAATGCTAGAGAGCTCATCACAGTGTTAAGGATAGGGGAATATTGGTGGGATGACCATTCCTGCAGCAGACAGGTCTAGAACCAGGGTTATAACTTGGCCCGCCCCATCATCCACCCCATCTATGATCTGCTGGAGCACTCAAAGGGTCCTTACCCAAAGACCCAAAGCAGCAGGCTCTCCATAACTCACGACAACAACAAGATATCCAAGTAGAGTCTCAGTGAGGGCCCAGGATCGATGGTGTAGTAGAAACCAGAGGCCTCAAACCAGACCAAGGACTCTTTGCAGTGAACACTTGCAAGTAAAGATATATGGACAAAGGGGTTTAGTGGGTGACTCACTGTGTCATAGTGTAGCTTCCATAACAAGATTGTTAATTTTTTCCCTTTTTTTCTCTTAAATTTTATTTTATTGTGGGGGGAGGTATTTGCAGAGCCAAAGGGTAGATGCAAAGAGATGGGGAAATGAATGGGATCAAGATGAATGATGTGAAAGACACACTGAATAAATAAAAAGAAAGTAAAAAAAAATAGTAGAGCCCAATGAAATAAAATGAACTTGGTATTGCTAAAGAAATTGAATCCATATTTGAGGAGCTCAGATGCTTCTACTAACATTTAAGAGAGAAACCGCTGCTGTCTTGAGGGATGTTATTGGTTGTAGTATTAAGGCAACTCCACGTAGTTCAAAGGGAGGTTTATTCTGTGGGGTAACTTTCAAGTAAAGGGATAGGTTACAGGATCTGGGAAAGGTGTAGCGAAGTCCAGCGGTGTTCTCTGGAGAACTCTGCTTGGGCTACATCCAGCATCCAGGAACCCAGAGAGCCAGAGCATCCGGACCTCGGGTCTTCAGGGGTCCTGTCTCACCCGGCCTTGTAGGCGTGACAGTTACCGAAGCCTCAATGCGGGTAGTACTTCCAGGTCAAGGCTGGAATAGCTACCCACTACAGGATGTCTCCCAATGGCTGAAGAAAATAGAAGTTTGCTCCATGCCTCCGCATATTCCTGATACCCAAATCTGAGCATGTGAGAAAACAAAATCAAAGGATAGTTTTACCTAGGAAGGTTTATGCAGAGACCCCCAGTGGACTGTTAGCAAACTGAAATCAGTGACATCTTGAAGACAATATCTGTGACCAAGCGAATTCCACAACACATGGTTTAACATTTCAGTGTTAACCTTGGAAACTGGCCAGAGTGTTTGCTGGACAGATTAAAAGAAAAACATGGCTTCCAGAGTCGATGCAACAAGGAATTCAACACAATTTCATATTCATAAGTGACAAAGCACGGAAAGGGGTCTGTACAAAGACCTACTATGTGCACACACACTACTAACAGTGAGATATTCAGAAACTGCAGCATGTTGGAGCAACTACTGTGGGGGGTTTTATTGTTGTTGTTTATTTGTTTGTATTTTGTTTTGTTTTATTTTTGGTCTCACTCTGTAGCCCAGGCCAGCCTGGAACTCATTATCATGTAGCCCAAGCTGGCTTCGAACTCACAAGTCCTGTGATTAGAGATGTGAGCTACCAGCTCCAGCTCTATTACAATCTCTACTCTGCCCTGTACTGGGGTGGGTGGGGATCCTCGTTCAGACTTAAGTCAAGGAGAGAATGACTGAGTAATGCTCACTTCTCCCCAGCTCTCTGGGATTTCTCCTTCTCCTAGTGGCCATGTGACTGAGTTCTGGCCAATGGAATGTGGCAGAAATGACCCCTTCTACTTCCGATCTTAGCTCCTAAAACTCCTGCCCGGCTCTTGAGCTCTGAACATAGGCACCCGGGGAAGCAACCGACCAAAGATACATCAGCTCCCACCAGTCTAGGTCCCCCAGACCCCCAGAGGCAGGCGGGGTTAGCAGCCCTCTTTACCAAACGTTCTTGGCGTGAGCAAGAAGTAAACTCTTAGGTTCGGCCACGAGAATTTCAGAAAGAGGTTCCTTGAAGAGAAGTGCCGTTAGTAAGTCTCTGATAGTGTTCACTTAGCCGTGGGACAGCTGGAAGATCGGAAGCAGCTTGTGAACATGTCGTTGCTCTCAGGCTCTGTAAATTTAGTAGAAACCCCAGTGAAACCCCTATGGTCCTGCTGACTTCATGTTGCTCTTCTCACTCTCTCCCCTCCTCCTCCTCTACCCCCTCCTTCTTCAGACTTGGAAAAAAAAAAGATTTTCAGTGTTTACAAAAGCAAATGTGTTCTTATGTAATAAGGACACAGGGAACTTTCCCTTCCGTGTCTTAGTCATCGCGAAACAGCACCTGTTAAGCTGCTGTGCGCTTGACGTGGGGGACACGTGAACAGATGAGGCAGAAGAGAGAAGTAAGCAGTGGGCGGCGATCCAGCCATCTCCAAATTGTGGCTTATGGCAAAGCATTGTAGGGCTGGAGAGAGGACTCTGCAGTTAAAAGTCCCTGCTGCTCTTACAGAGGACCCAGGTTCAGTTCCCAGTACTTCATGATGGCTTCCAACCACCTGTAACTCTAGTTGCAGAGATCTACACCTTCTTCTGGCCTCTGAAGACACCAAGCAGATACCAGGTATACATACAGACATGAAAGCTACCGTTCCTACACATAAATTAAATATAAATAAAAATTAACCAAACCAAACCATTGTAAAGAAAATGCCAATTTTCTTTAATGAGATTATATCTGATAATGGATTTATATCCAGAATATTTAAAATATATAAAATAGATTTTTTTTTTTTTTTTAGAAACACAGATTGCAGCAAAGGAATATCACCGAGGTATTTAAATAGCAGTGGAGAAGCATAAAATTAAAAACAGCATCGTTATCAATTAGGAAAAATGCAAATTAGGATCAAATGAGATTACATCATGAATTGAGCTGACAGAAAGTAGAATATCAGACTTGAGCACATTCTGTGAATTGGCAGGTTCGCAGAGCTTCTGGCTTCCGGATGGAGGAATATGGGTTTTGTAAATCAGGGTAACCGGTCTGAAAAGTGGCTTACATGTAGTTACACTGAAGATGTGCAGACCTCACTGACCAGCATCTCCGTTTTCAGGTGTGCACCCACAAGTATCTCATGCACATGTGTAGCCGAGTGCATATTGAAAATGTACTTGGCAGTCCTCGGCTGGTCATGCTTGTTGCAGGATGAATGCATTCATGGTGGGTGCTCATTCAAGAGATGTTCTGAAGCCACAGAACAAAGACATGTGAGATTGGAACCACTGTACAGCTTCATTTGTATAAATTTCAATAATAGGCCAAACTGTTCTAGAAGGCACTTTTGTTAGAAGGGACGCATAGGGGCACAGTGGTACTCCATTTATTTATGTTGGTGGTCTTTATCTGAGCATTCACTTCATGATAATGAATGATGATACTATTATCTTACTATAACATCGAAGTGAAGTATATAATTGATAAATCTTGTACTATGTTTTATGTGCTTTGGTACACGCTTTATATACTTTTCTGTGTTGACTCTTAGTTTTATTTCCTGTTGCTGTGTTAAAATAATCTGACAAAAGCGACTTTAAGGAGAAAAGGCTTATTTTATGTCACGGTCCAAGGTACAATCCGTCATGGCAGAGAAATCAAGGCAGTAGGTGCCTGAAGCAGCTGTCAGATCCCATTTATAGTCAGCAGTAGAGAGTGGTAGATCATGGTTGCTAATGTGCAGCTCACTTTCTCCATTTTATGCCATCTGTTTATGCTTGGTGTTGTTTTTGTAAACATCCTGAGAAGCTCACTGATGGTCTGTGGTGATCACTGATGGTCTGTGCTGGTCTGTAGTGAATCACTAAAGGTCTGTGCTGGTCTGTGGTGATCATTGATGGTCTGTACTGGTCTGTGGTGATCACTGATGGTCTGTGCTGGTCTGTGGTGAATCACTGATGGTCTTTGCTGGTCTGTAGTGATCACTGATGGTCTGTGCTGGTCTGGTGATCACTGATGGTCTGTGCTTGTCTGTAGTGGTCACTGATACATACTCATGCATGTGAAAACCTGAAGACAACCTCAAGTGTTATTCCTGGTCACTGCCCATCTTATTATTCAAGACAGGCTTATTCACTGGGACCACTAGTTGGGCTTGGCTAATCAGCCAGTGAGCTCCAGGAATCCCCTCGTCTCCACTCACTAAGTGCTGGTATTACACACGTGCACCTCTGTGCCCAGCTGTTTAGTGGGTACTGGAAATGGACCCCAGGTCCTCATGGAGGTGCAGCAAGCCCCTTTCTGGAGGAGCCATCGATCTCTCCAGGCTTTGTTAGCTATTTTGATGCCTCTCTACCTCCTTTTTGATGAAACAGGGGCTATCCATTCATCTCCTCATTTTAAATTTAAAATGAGCTGTCAGTTAAAATTGACAGAATTAATTTTTCAGTCAGGCAAAGTGAGACTGCTCAATATTCATGGGTTTCATCTCAGACACCTGAGAGAAAGGCCAGGTGTGCCAAGAAGAGCTCTTGGGTTACAGTCAGAAGCTGTGTGTCACCGCAAAGGACAGATGCTCATGACCTGGTGGAGAATGCCGGAGCGCTCCCGTGTCCTCTCCTAAGGAGATCCTGTTTCCAGCCATAGGAAGGGGGTAATGCTGGAGTGAACCGTGTGATCTGTGGTCTTCTGTGCCTGCCACTGAGGTGTGCAGGTGGCTTTCAATGCCATCTCTGTGGAGATAAACTTGTGAGTCAGTTCACAACAAGGAATAGAAGACCAGTTCTTCCACGAGTGTGAAATGACTGTGGTTCTGAGCCATTCACCAGCAGTTTTACTTTTCACTGAGATAGATTTTGAAGAAGCAGCTGGAGGTGTTCAGAATTTTGGAGCTAACCATGGCCTCTAAGCCCCTTCCCATTCTGAAAGAGTCAACCACAGAACCTAGAAGTACCATCCCAAGCAGGACACGGTGGTATATAGGACTGTGGACTTTCTCTGAGAGTCACAGAATGTAAGAAACAATAGAATGCAAAAGTGGGCAGTAAATCAGCTTTACTGGGGACAGAACTAGTGACTGTCATGGAGTCGATTAGCTTCCCTGAGGCAGAGCCTGAGGCAGGGGCTCAGTGCCTGTGACTGGAGGGGGACAGAGGAGTGACGAGGAGAACCTGTAAGTGAATGTGAGAAGTAGAGAGGGAAAGAGAAGAAGTCGAGTGAGGATGTGGCCTCTCAAGAGGTCTTGGCCCATGCGTAGTGGAGTGGAGAGTTTGGGAGGTATGGCCATGTGACCAGGTTCTGACCAATAAGGTATCACTAATGGTGCGGTGCGAAACTTCTAGGAAGGCTGTTTAAAGATAGAAGAAGTCAGGGCAGGTTGGTGGCTCTGTGGGTGAAGACGCTTGTCATGCAGGCCTGGAGACCTGAGTTTGATCCCCAGAACCTCAAAAAGGTGGAAGAAGAGAGCTGATTCCACACAGTTGTCCTCTGTCCTCCACATGTGCACCATGGCATGCGCATATCCACCCACACACGTCATAGACTCATAGTAATAATACATAAAAATTAATAAAGGTAAAGATGGAGGAAGTGAGAGATTTCGTTCATTCACTTTTCCTCCTCCTTCCTTCTCTTAGTCTGCACTTTGGCCACAGTGGTTACAGGACCAGAAGCTGATGTTTGTTCTTGAGAGTGAAACCATGTGCTAAAAATAGAGTGAAAAGAAATCGGAGTCCCTGGTGACCACGGAGCCACTTCAATTCCCAACTTCAGTAAAGCTTCACTTATTTAACTAAAAAAGCAGCAGCACAACTCTATCTTGCTTCATCATCTCTGTTTTCATCCCTGGTAACATGGATGCTATTCCCATGGGTACCATGAGACAGGACAGATGCATAGAGATTCCTGGGCAGTGTGGTAGCCACACTGGTCCCCAGCAAAGACAGGCTGCTGCCTTAATGCTTCTCTTGTCTCCTGCCCAGACTTGTAAATAAGAAGCAAAAAGACCTCTTGTGGTTTTCTTTCTATAGTTGAGAGCCTCATAGCTAAACTGTGTACATACTAACTTTAATTTTTACTTACCTCAAGTCTGTTGTTTTAGATTTTAAATGTCACTTCAAATGCTGCCTTGGAACACTCAGTCCTAAATGGGATATTGTCATCAAACCCCTCCCCTCAGGGCTCAGGGAACTATTTGGAAGAGGAGGCAGAAAGATTGTAAGGGCCAGAGGGGATGGAGGACACCAAGGACCTCCAGACACACCAGGACTGGCACACTGAGTCTATATGGACTCAGAGACTGTGGCAGCATGTGCAGGGCCTGGACAGGTTCAAGCCAGACAGGGTTCCAGGGCTAAGAGGAGAAAATAGACATGAGCTCCCATTCATAACCAGGAAGTTACCTCCAATTGACAACCACTTGCAGAGGAAACATTATTTCCCTACAATGGAGTCTCACTGGGCATACAAACCACACTTAAGGTCAGGCCCCATGCCCAGCAGTACAGGCTGACAGAAAATGAACTCAATGGTATTTTTGTAGTTTTTGTCTTTCGTATTGCTTTGTTTGAGCATTTATTTATTTATTTTTAATCTTACTGGTCTTTTGCTTGTATGTTATGGTTTCCGATTTTGCATCTTTATTGGTCTTGTTTTTGTGTGTGTGCGTACCTGTATTTCTCTGTCTGTGTGTATTTCTCGTGTCTTTTCTTTGCTTTTATTATTCTATTTTTAAAATGTGCTGGTTTGTTTTCTAAAGAGAGAGAGATAGAAGGCATGTAGTTGGATGTGTGGGGAGGTAGGGAGAGGATCTGGGATAAAATGAGGAAGGGGGAAAGCAAGATTAGAATGTATTGTATGAAAAAATATTTTCAATTAAAACTGCTGTTTGACAAAAACAAATTAAAAAATATCTTGTATTCCCTTATGCAAACCTCCATTCTCTTGAATCCTGAGAAAGTCAGCATGCAACATGTATGCATGTGGAATTGTAAATGAAATAGTAAAAATTAAAATGAAAACAAACCACACTAGCGACCACAGAACTTAGTGGATACAGATATGAATGTGGACATGGAAGACTTCCATGATTCCTCTGGAGTTGTTGGTTTCTCCCCTCCTGTGGCCCCCACTTCCTTCCATTGCTTCGCTCAGCTGCCTTGAACATGAAGGCTGTATGTAATGATATCGGGAGTCATGGTTCATTAATATAAAGGAACAGGTCTCAACCAGAGGCAGTTTTGCCACCTAGGGGATATGTAGCAATGTATAGAGATAATTTGGCATGTCACAACTGGGTGGGCATCGATGGATTGAGCCTCAGGATGCTACAATGTGTCCTAGAATGCATAGGGCAGCCCAAGCACTGAAGATCTTCTAGCTCAGGATGTGAGCAGTGCAGAGGCTGGAGTGTCTGTGTGGAGAAAACACCCACTGCATTTAAGCACCTCAGTTGTCTGACCGTCATTAAAAACACTTAGATTTTACTTTAAGGGTATTAATTGATTTCTTCACTTTCCCTCCATCTTGAAAAGAGCCCAAGTGAGCTTTGCCCCGCTGCACCCCAATGACCTAGTTAACACTCTCCCTAGCTAGCAGCTTATTAGCTCCTGGGAGACAAGAGTTAATGGGGTTGATGCTTAACCAAGATGCACATTTCAGTGTTACCTCCTGGGGTGCTGTGACTTAATACTCAGGAGTTGAACATATTTATAATCTAAGCCCAATGGATTCTTTGAAGGCAGCTTTGATTTATATTTTGAAAGCATTTTTGAGGACTAACACGTGGAGAAGAGCTGGTCAACGTGTTGGCCCTTATAAAACTTAAACGCAACAAGTTGAAAGTCTTAGTCTAGCATAAAAACTGTGAAAATGTGTATGTTTTATAAAAGGAAATTACATACCATGCTCATTTTTTCATCCCATTTTGTTTAAGAATGAGGAATAGGAAAGTGATATCCCTGGCTTTGTTCCTGGGAAGAGGAGGTGTGAACTGTGAGGTGCACAGTGTGGGGGCAGAGGTGGAGTAATATGGTGGGATGACCCACCAGGGGCATGTGGCGAGATGATCTGCAAGGCCACTTACTCACTCAGTTTGCACACTGTACTAGTAACTTCTTATTGCTGTGACCAAAGGCTGAAACAAAGGAGGAAAGACTTACTTTTAGGGTATTACTTGATTTCTTCACTTTCCCTCCATCTGGGGTACCAGAGGGTTCAGTCCATGGTTGCTTGGCTCTTCGATTCTGAGCCCCATGGTGCAGACAGACATAAGACAGAGGGAGCTCTCCTCAAGGCAGGAAACAAGGTACAAAGGGGTCAGGCATAAACATTCCCCTACCCGCCCCCCCCCCCAAAGTTACCTACTTCCTCCAGCTAGGCCTCCTCTCCTGTAGTTTCCACAAACTTCCAAAACAGTGCCACCAGCTAGGAACCAACACATGAGTCTGTGAGGGATGTTTCACACTCACCATAGCAACAGCCCCAGAATCAGAAGCATTTGTGATCCAGCTCTGGAGCAGCACCCTGCAGCAGATCCATTGACTCTGCCTTTACCGCCACCCCCCCTGATGTATTGATCTCCATAGGGTGGAAGGCACTGGTGAGGGCTGTTGGAAGCAAAGGGAAGGCTGGGAGGTGCCAATAAAACATGGAGTGCTCCAGGTTGGAAGGAGGGCCGCTAATGCCAGAGATCAAAACAAAGTGAGACCAGTAAGAGAGAAGCAGCAGGGGTGAGAACAGGACCAAGGACCTAGACACACAAATGCTGGCAGGAATGTGGCAATACATGACCAAAGACTGAATGTGTGTGTGTGTGTGTGTGTGTGTGTGTGTGTGTGTGTGTGTGTGTGTGTGTGTGTGAACTGAAGACTCAACTGTGCAGACTGTAAGCGGGAGTGAGGGAGGGCTCAGGGCAGGGAAGGAGCAGCTGAGTTCAGCAGTGAGAAGGACAAGGGGAAAAGTAAATGGCGGCAGAATGGTTAGGATGAGTGAATGACTTCAGTCAGGGCACTGTTGCTGTGGGGAGAAATAAGGAAGGGAGAACAGAGCAGTCTAGGAGAACAAGGACAAACAGGTAAAACCAGATGTGAGTAACCAATCAATTCGAAATTCTCATCAACATCTGATGCAGTTGTGTAAAGTTTTAACCTGCGCTTTTTACTAAATTAAAATCTCAGAGTCCATCTGTGTGTGTACACAGAAGGTATGGATGTGTTAGTTTTACTTCCTTAGCTATGAAAAATACCTTGAGATAAACAATCTAAGGAATGTATTTTAGCATGAAATTCTGAAAGGTTCCAGTCCATCATTGTGCGGATGTCAAGGCAGCAGGAACTTGAAGAAGCCATTCACATCCAGGGTCAAGAGCAGAGAGAATGCATGCCTGCCTGCCTGCCAGCTCAGCTGACTCCCTTGCCATTCAGTCTTGAGAAGGGGCAGCCACTGCCACCCACCTCAGTCAACCCAATTAAGAACATTCCTCACACTGATGTTCACAGGCCAATCAATCTAGACAGTTCCTCACTGAGATTCTTTTTCCAGGTAATCCCAGATTGTGCCAAGTTGACAGTTAAAACTAACCATCACAGCAGGTGTGTATGTGAACATGTGAGTGCCGTATATGTGCACATATATGTGCTGATGCACACTTGTGCATGCACATTTGTGTCCATGTGTGTGGACATCATGCCAGAGGACATCAGGTACCCTGATCAATCTCTCTCTGTCTTGTTCCCTGGAGACAGAATCCCTCACTAAACCTGGAGCTAGGCTGGTAGAGCCCAGTAATCCTCTTGTCTTCCCCGCCACCACCACTGGGGTTACAGCCGTGCAGTTTACACATGGCTTTTGGGGGGGAATTTTGACTCAGGCCCTCATACTTGGACTGCAAGCATTCTTACCCACTGAACCATCTCCCCAGCCCTAGAGTCCACTTTTTTTTTTTTAAATACTTATGTGCTTTTTTATTTTGATGATTTGGAGGCATACTTAGCAGAGTCAAAGGCTGAACATTGTAGGACATATTTCACTTAATTTGTTAGCTGAATGTATAAATTAAAAACATGTAGACAAGTTGAGATGAAGAGATGGCTCGTCAGTTAACAAATGTTTACTGTTCTGTGAGAGGGCCTGAGTTTGAATCCCAGGACCAACCAAAGGAGACTCACAAAATGACTCTAACTCCAGCTATAGCGATCTGAAGCCTGATGCTGGCTTCTGTGAGCAGTCTTCCTCATTCCCCGTGTGTGTGTGTGTGTGTGTGTGTGTGTGTGTGTTACACAAAGTAAATAAGATACATTTTTAAAAACTATTTCGTATGGTGGATTAGCCTCCCTGTGTATTACCCTACAATCTAGAATGTATAGATCTGTGTGTATGTAAGCACATATCTATACATATACCATATCTTTATTTGTTTTCAGTTAGCGTAATAGTGGTGAGCTTCTGATACATTTATCTAATTATTCTTTATCAATAAAAAATATTGGGAGTCAGATATCGGAGTAAGAATCTGAATGATCAGAGGAGCAGCTAAGAAGCCACCAGTGACCTCCTATCTCTTCTCTTCCTCCATCCAAAAAGCTGAGATCCTTTATCCACCCAGCCTTATTACTCCCTGCCTCCTATCTGTCCTCAGTCCTCCAAAACCTCTATGGTTAACTTTGGTCAGTTAGTGGCTGGCTTTGCCCTCTGTAGAGTCCACTTTGAACAGGATGTTGGGGAAAAAAAATTTAAATGTATTATAGACATCTCTCTTACCTGCACATATGTAAATAAATCATCTTCAGTTTACCTGTGTCCCTGGGCCCTTGGTCTTGACTGTCCTGATTATAAAACATTAGAGATAGGATACATTTAAATACTACTTATTCAAAGACTTACATATATCCTCAAGAAAACACTGGGAGGGCTGGCTGGGCCCTCTCTGCTGTTTGCCTAAGTGCCCTCCCCCATGTCTGTGTGTTGAAGACTAACTCCCCAATGGATGGCACTATTGGGAGGTGATGGGACTCTTAGGAGGCGGGGCCAGGTGGAAGGAGGTTAGGTCACTGGGGGCATACTCTGCCAGGGAATATTAGGACCTCGGCCCCTACTCTTCCTCTTGTTTGTGAGGTGAGCATCCCACTCCACCACGAGTCCCTGATGGTGTGCTGCCTCACCATAGGCCATGGTGCCCGGCAGCCATGGACTGAAAACTCTGAAGCTGGGAGCCAAAACCATTCTTCCCTCCTACAGGTGGATTTCTCTCTCAGGAATTTGCTGCAGTGATGGAGAACTGACTCTCCCAGAGCACCCCACCAACACAGTATACATCATGGTGATAAATAAGTAAATTATCCTTCAAGTGTTTGCTTATAAAATGATCATTTATGGAGGAGTATCTAATATGATCCAGGACTGTGATAAATTTACTTAAGTTCAGAGATATTTGTTTTAACTAAAGATTTATTATTTTTAAAATTATATGCATGCGGGGAAGAGGGTATGTACATGTTGAGTGCAGGTGCCCACAGGGGCATAGGAGCCCCCTGGAACTGAAGTAACAGGTTGGGAGCCACCCTACATGGGTGATGGGAACTGAACTCAGGTCCTCTGTAAAAGTAATACATTCACTTGACCGCCGAGCCAACTCCCCAGCCTCCTTCATTATAATTAAAACAGATATATTTCCTGGCATAGTTAGGGTTTCTGCTGCTGTGAAGAGACACCATGATCATGGCAACGCTTATAAAGGAAAACTTTTAACTGGAGGTGGCTTCAGTTCCAGAGGTTCAGTCCATTATCATCATGGCGGCATGCAAGAAGACTTGGTGCTGGAGAAGGAGCTGAGAGTTCTACATCTTGATCTGCAGGCATCAGAAGACTCTGCATCTCACATTGGGCATAGCCCACCTCCACAGTGACACACTTTCTCCAACAAGGCCACACCTAATAGTGCCACTCCCCATGAGCCAAGCATTCAAACACTTGAGTCTATGGGGGGCCATACCTATTCAAACCACCACATTTCTATACTCATTTCAAGAAACTGAGATCAAGGTAAAATGAAAATAAGTACCTGGTAAAACTGGTTACAGCAACCTCATGGAAAAATATCTACAGCCTTCAGCACTTGTCTACTGGTGCCAGCGCTATTGTCCCAGCAGCCCTCTAATCTTCTCTCTTCTGGCCCTCAGGTATGCGCCAAGGCAATGACTATGGCACCCAGTACCGATCGGCAGTCTATCCCACCTCCAATGCACAGATGGAAGCAGCCCTGAGATCCAAGGAGGAATACCAGAAGGTAGGGCTCCCTAGCTTTGGCCTGCTCAGGCCAGTGTGACCTGGGCCAGCTCGGTGATAAAGGGGAGCTTGGTTCCGTCCACCTGTGACGTTTTAGCTAGTTCTGCCCGCCTTTCAGCAGAGTCACATTCAATGTGTGCAGTAAGAGTCCAGGAGTGGGCCCGTGTGTATTTGTCCTTCACATCAGCTCATCCCAGTGAATATGTGGGGCTGCCCCTCTGTCAGAATCTATTTAACTCACGGACCTTGCTTGTCTCTGTTCTGGACCTGGGATCTAGAAGCAAGGCAGTGACAAGGGGGCCCTTTTTCTGGGGCCTGGGGGAAGGACCAGTCCAGACCTTTCCCCCTGAAAATGTCACATGATCTTCCCTCTTAGTGTGCTTCTGTGTTCGGTCCTGCGTTTATAAGGACACTGGTCCTGTTCGATTCAGGCTAACCCTAGTAACCTCATTTAGCTTGATGACTTCTATGAAGACCCAAATCCAAATAAGGTCATGTTCTAAGAGCTTAAGGCTCCAATAGATCCTTTCTGGAAAACATAGATCAACCCATGATATACACTTTTCATTGCCAGCAACAGTAAACTTAATTACAATAAAAGCATTTATCAGAAATATATACATTACATCATGAAATAATTGTTCTCACTTTTAACTTCTATAATTTTTAGAAAAATCTCTAGTAGAGATTTGATTCTCTTTAAAAAAAAACCAACTTGAGTTGCTTTAGCTTTTAGAGTTCTGTGATAATTCTCTAATTTTAATTAAGATAGTGTCTGATTTAACAATAGAGCTGGTAGCTACTCCTGGTGCTGTAAATATGTAGGACAGACGCCACCGTGGTAGAGGGGGTAATGAGAAAGGCTGGGATGAGGCTTGTCTGTTATTGAGGTATATGGCCTGGTCAGTTCCACCGTGAGAGGAGATAGGGCTGAGCGAGATGCTGAGATGGTTGCCTCTCCCATCATGCATCTAAGGCTGGTATATCAGCTTGGCTGGTGTGGCAGGCAGGCAGTTTGGGGTGCAATCCCCACAGCTGCTATCCATACATGGCTCCCTCTGTGAGTAAGGGCTGGATTTTGTGACGTTCCTCATATTCCTATATGGAGGCTGCAATATCAAGAGAGCTCCGTTTTCAGGAACCTAAGTGTCTCGTGATGTGTGCCTATGGGTACGGGGAGGGAGCAATAAGGCTAACTACGTACCTGTGCCTAGGAGACCACTAGGATGTCTGGCTTAGCTCAAGTCCCACAGGTGGCAGAGCTCACGGTCATGGGCTTGTGTGGGAGGGCTTTCCAGGATGGTACCAGGAAACAGGGGACAGGAGGAGGAGGGAGGAAGATTAAGGCCCATGCTGCCACTGCCAATAACAGGTTGCTTGAGCCTCATTGAAATCACCTGTCATTCTTGGGAAGAAGCGTATTTCCCTGGGAGCCATTATACATGGTGTCACCTTGCACTTCTGTCTGGGAGACTTCATCTCAGGGTAGGAAGCCCATGAGGATGAGAGAGGCATTATCGGTTCAAGGAGCTGCAAAAGCTAAGAAGGGTCCCTGAGGACAGGCCCCACAGCAGCAAGGTCTGTGGGAGAGGCAAGTGAGCCCCAGGACCTGATGTGACTGAGAAGGGCCTGGAATTAAGTGTGTGCATTCTAGTTTCTGTTGCTGTGATAACATATCCTGACCAAAAGCAACAACATCAGGAAGAAACAAGCTCATTTGCCTTACAATTCCAAGTTACTGTCTGTCATTGCTGAGGAATCGAGGCAGGAACTTGAGTCAGCTAGCCATCTTATAACAAACAGTAGAGAGAAAGAAAATAAATGTTTGTATTTATCTGCCTGCCTGCTTGTGCTTAGCCAGCTTTGTCCTCTCCTATACAGTTCAAGACTCCCCTGCCCAGGGAATGATGCTACCCACAGTGGGCTGGGTCTTCCCATATCAATGAACTTAATTAAGTCCACCCCCAACAGGCATGCCCACAGGCCAACCCAATGTAGATAATCCTTCATTGAGACTCTCTTCCAAGGTGATTCTCTGTTGTTTCACATTGACAATTAAAGCGACCCATCCCAGTGTGTAAACAGCATCAGAAGCTGTCTGTCATCCACACTGCCCTTCTCTCAGCTCTGTTCCCTAGCCAGGAAAGACTGCTGACTTCAAAGGCTCAAGGTTGATCCCACCAAGGGGCTCTCAGAGGTTGTGATGGAGCTGAGGAAGAAAAGCTTGAGGTGATTCCCCAGTAAGACCTCCTGCTGTGATCAGATAGTCCCTATGGGGGATAGCTTTAGATCCAGAAGTTATGAGCAGAATGATGTGTAATACAGAAACATGCTTATGGCAGAGATAGAGTAGGATTGCAGCCACAGGAAAGGGTATTCGCTGAATGCCAATCAGTGAATCTAAGTTCCCTATGTAAGTGAAGTCTTTTACAAAGCTTTGATTATCCATCCACGAATTACCTATGTATCTATATCATCTCTCTGCCATTTTGCTATCATCTGTCTATCTATCTATCTATCTATCTATCTATCTATCTATCTATCTATCATCTATCTACTTATCTATATGTAGATGTGATAGATATACTTAGACACAGTTGTGTATATCTCTCAGTATCAATCTATCTATCTATCTATCATCATCTATCTACTTATCTATATGTAGATGTGATAGATACACTTGGACACAGTTGTGTATATCTCTCTGTATCATTGTTGAAAATTGCATGTGTTGGTGTAGTTCTGAGACCTTGTTTCCACTTTGGGAGCTCGTGTGAATTTCTGCCCATTCTCTTTGTAATACTGATAATATCTATAACTCACTCCCAAATAAGTCAACAATTTGCCTATGAAAGGTGATGCAATTAGCTTTTACTCAATAAAGAATCAGTCTTTTCTTTGACATTTACCTTAAAAATACTCTGGCTTCCAAAGGGCCCCATAACCATCAAATTTTTTGTCTTTCCAGCTGGCCAGAGGGCAGTCCTGGATGGCCTTGCCTGTGCTTCATGTCAAGGGTGACCTTGAACAAATTTGGGGAAACAACAGAGACACTTACTCTAAGGGGCATCAGTTCTTCACAACACCAGTGACGCTCTTGGCCCCCAGTATTTTGCCCCAAACACTCAGATTCATTTTGAGAGTAGAGTCACCTTCCGTTCATTCCTCTTTGCCCCTTCAGAGATGGCCATTACGGGCCTTCCATCCCGGCCATTGATCTTCTCTGAGTCTGCAGGGGCCTTTGCATACTAACTGTAATGTTGACTTAGGTTACTAATTTGATGGCCTCTGCTAGTTTGTCCCCCAGTGACCCGCAGGAAGCGGCTTCTTCAGCAACTTCTTTATATGTGGTGGTGGAGTAACTGCACTGCTTACCACAAAGCAGCCATTTGAACATCAAATTAGCTGATTTTATCGCAGGGACCAATTGTTGAGCTAATTAGATGTGTAGGAGTGCTGAGGAGCCAGAAACCAAAAGTGATTTTTTTCCCTCCAAACTGTGGTTTTCTGCAAAGTTGGCTGGGCTGTCAATCCCAGCCCCGCCGGCAACCTGAAGAAGAATTTTTCTCACTTCTGATCTGATGGTGGGGGCTGGGGAGGCAAGAAGGTTCAGGAAGGAGGCTCAAACCTGCAGGAGTGAAACCCAAACTTCAGGCTGGATTTAATGACCTCAGCAGGGCTGAGTTCTGCTAATAGAACATGAAGCTACTTCATGTCTTGGTGAGCTGAGGACATTCATGAAAATGTGTCCGGCGCCCTCATCTTTTAAGGATGTGTGTAGTATTTTCTTAATCTTGTCTTTATGTGTAAACCTCTTTCCTTAAGGAGTTTTATGGTGTAGTTATTTGTAAGCAAATAACTGGAGGAAATATTTAAAGGTGGTATTGCTTGTGGATATCATACACTGTGGATGATTCTCCCAAGTCAGTCTGTCCTAACCAATGTCTTCTCATTGTCACCTGAATGAATCATGCCCTCTGGGAATGTTAAGGGTAGGATTCATGTGGGATTCTTTCATACTCAAAATGTGACTCCTCCCCACTTAAGAATTCAGTATTTTGCTGGGTGGTAGTGGCACATGCCTTTGATCCCAGCACTCTGGAGGCAAAGGCAGGTGGATTTCTGTGAGTTTGAGGCCAGCCTGGTCTACAGGGTGAGTTCCAGGAAAGCCAAGGCTACACAGAGAAGCTCTATCTTGAAAAACAAAGCAACAACAACAAAAAAGAATTAAGCATTGTAACCCCTGGTAGATTGTGGGTCTTGAAATTTAAGAGACAATAGATGTGAATGAAGCTAGTTGCAGCCTATCATATGACCTAACTCATTCCTAACTCCTCAAGACTCATGAATGGAAAACAGGATTTCTTTGAGTATTTCTCTTGTCAGAAGAGAGAAGAAAAATCAGCATTTTCTTTTGTGTACATGTTATAACATATTGAGCTTTAATAAGCATAAAACCTTCTTGGGTGCATTTTAAATTACTATATTTCAAATATTAAACAGTGTTTGAAAACTGTCTCCTTAATTTCTGTCTGTTTATCTATCCACCCACCCATCTATCCATCAACCCACTCACCTATCCATCTACCCACCCACCCACCCACCCACCCATCTATCCACCCACCCACCCATCTATCCACCCACCCACTCATCTATCCACCTACCCACCCACCCATCTATCCACCCACCCACTCATCTATCCACCTACCCACCCACCCATCTATCCACCCACCCACCCATCCACCCACCCACCCACCCACCCATCTATCCACCCACCCACCCATCCACCTACCCACCCATCCATCCACCCTCCCACCCACCCACCCTCCCACTCATCTATCCTTTCAGCTATCCACCCAGCCTCTCCATCCATCTACCCACCCATCTGTTTATAGAGCCCCTCTTCCATCTACTCATTCTTCCAACTATGTATCATCTATATCTTCAATATAACTATATTCTTTAAATAATTTCTGTAATTTTATCTTAATTTTCAATTAT